ATAGGTGTAGTCCTTGTATGCTGGAAACTCTAGTAGGGGAGTTGTTAGTCCTGATATGACACATATTACTTGTAAAAGAACTTTCAGTCATTTCCCAAGGAACTCCCTAGAAACATCCAACTATTGTTACTAGCCCCATGTAGAATCTTATTTGATCTGTGCTGATTTTCATCTGGGATTGATTATAAACTTTTTGGAATTGCGGTGACTGCTGCTCCAGTAACAATTTTAAATTTAAGTTTTTGATTGTTTAGATTCATGCTTATGTACAAAGATATTGCCTGTTCTAGTGAGGATATAGTCCTTAGAAATATAGACTCACTGTCATCTGATAACAATCCCTGTTGGATAGTTTCCACTATTCTTGATGACCTGCACGCTATTGCAAAATATCCCATTTTGTGGCATCTCTTATATTCTGCCTCTTTAGCTGCACATTGTTGCCAGCTGTAGCTTGGTGTCTTGCCAGATCTTCCACAACTTTTCCAACCATCTTTTCTATTAAGGTTGAAACAAATGGAATCCAGACATTTGCAGAGAACTCTGTTTACAATTCCCAAATACCGAGTCATCCATGAGCAGGGACAGCCTCCCTATGCTGCTTTTCACCCACACACACTATAGTGTGAGGACACACACAAAAAGCCATTCTCTAAGGAGCAGTAACTAAAGAACTTCCTGACCAGGAAGTTCCCATGTTTAGTAAGCTCCCCACTGCAACACATCCTGATCCTATTTGGTTACTGTGGAGGGCCAGGAACTCTATAACAACTTCACCCACCCATAATTTAGCTCCTGGTGCACATGTGGGTAACAGGATATCTGCATTTCTCAGGTTCTGGAAGCACAAGATCTCAGTTCTCATTCCTTTAACAAATCACTCAAGATGTGAACTCATAGAAAGTTAAATAACATAAGATTGTTCTGGGAAAAACATATTACAGGCTATTAAGAGTATATATTGTTATTGTTAGTTATATTGATATTTGTATAAGATCTTTTACACTTGACTTTATTGAAAATGAGTATTATACTGATACAGCAGAAAAAACATGACCAATGCAATAAGTTACCAAAGAGTGATAGAAAGCTTTTAGGTTTATCAGACTGTAACAATAACCAATTTGAAAAATAAAAGTATTTTATTGTATATAAAAAGTAATTAACATACAGACCAACCTACAGTATACATGATGTATTGTATACAGTATAGGCATTTGTTAGAAGTAAATGATTAAACTGTCAGAAACGCAGTGATTTCTGAAGTAGAAATATAAAGTTCAAGCCAAAGAGAATTACCATATGCATAAAAGCTCCTTCAGTTTTGCTAATAATTCCTGCCTGTCTGCTATTCAGCACGTACATTTCTTTGAGACTGTCCTAAATCAGATATCTCTTCTTTCAAACATTTGACGTTCTCTAGTATACTAGTCAACTGCCCAGTTTAAAAAGTGATTTTCTGTGTTAAGTTTTATTTCAATCTATAAAATACAAACTTATTTCAACGGTTTTTAAATTTCAGATTAAAGGATTTAATTATAAACACTCCTCCACAACTCTGAAATATAGATGTTTTATATTGGTAAAAACACTATAACTAATAATATTATGAAGTACACCTCTACCCCGATATAATGTGACCCGATATAACACGAATTCTGATATAACGCGGTAAAGCGGGGGGGGCGGGGCTGCGCACTCCAGCGGATCAAAGCAAGTTTGATATAACGCGGTTTCATCTATAACACGGTAAGATTTTTTGGCTCTCGAGGACAACGTTATATCAGGGTAGAGGTGTATGTCTTTTATAATTCAAGCCAACAAAATTAGATACTGGGCAATTTAAAAAGACTACTTTGCAATGCAAGGAAGATTTTAGAATAGGAATACACATGGAGCTCAGCAGATTATGTTCAAAATGCATGCCTGGACAGAGCACTCACTTTCCTAAGAAATCCCACACAAGCCTCTGTATCTGGAGCACGTGCTGTCACTATCACTGGACAGAAGACAACTTGCCCTTTGGAAGCTGCATAGGAGAGTAGGGAACAAGGCGGAGGAAGCAAGTTTGCAGAGCTGCAACTCATCTTTTTACCCCAACAAGCAGGGGCGGCTCTATGTATTTTGCCGCCCCAAGCATGGCAGTCAGGCAGCCTTCGGCGGCACGCCTGCGGGAGGTCTGCTGATAACGCGCTTTCGGCGTCCCCACCACCAAAGCCGCGGGACCGGCAGACCTCCCGCAGGCATGCCACCGAAGGCTGCCTGACTGCCACCCTCACAGTGACCGGCAGGCCGCCCCCCCACGGCTTGACGCCCCAGGCACGCACTTGGAGTGCTGGTGCCTGGAGCCGCCCCTGCCAACAAGGAATGGGTGGAGAGTAGGTAAAGCCTTGGCTCTGCTTTCCCTCAGATAACCAGCCAACAGAGCTGAGCCATCACAAGGGGGAAAGTATGCAGCACCTTGTAAAGAACTGCAGTAGTTTATTTCTCGCTGGAATTATAAGGGTCTCAAACTTTGGGTCATATTAAAGGAGCCTGATTTGCTAAAAAAGGCTTAAGAACCAACACTCTGAAAATCAGGCCTCTTCATTGTGTCTCTATACCTAGAGCAGATTACTTTCCCTGTTGTGCTGGCCACCCATTCCACACCCCTTAATACCCATACACATGCAGGAGGGTGAATATACGTGTGTCTCCTTATTCTCCCACGCTGCAGTCTAAAACATGGGATAATCTAGCCCTTACATTCTAAATAGATGAACCGACACGCAATTTCTAAATCAAGATTTGTGTTTTATTTTGGAATAGTTAATCTGCTTCTTCATGGAATACTTTCTTATGTACATTGTATATCTAGGGCTCAATCCTGAGGAGTGCTGAGTACCCTAACTCAGATGCATGATACATGTGTGCTTAACTTTAATCATGTGAGTAGTCTCGTTGAAATTAACTGGATTCCACACAGAGGCCAGGGGCCATTCTAGCAGATCTCAATGCAAGTTGGGGGCTAAAATTTATAACATTTTATAGCTACCATCTGGTCATACTCAGCTATTCAAATATACCGTACACGTTTCTCAGAAATACGTCACCAATTTTGTCACACTCAATATACATGTGATTCATTTCTTTGTGTGAAATTGAAGGAAAACATGTAAAATATCCACTACTCATTAGAATCCTGGCCATTTGCTCTATAATCAATTGTCAGTAAATGACTGAAACTGCTTTATGTTCAGACTAAGGTTCACATAAATCAAATAAAAATATCATGCAGGAAATCACATTCATATGCATGAAGAAAACCATACAATCTATTCTTATATTTATGCCTCTGTATTTGATTATATCCTTTGTATTAACTATGCTGGAAGTAAACTATTAAACATATTATTTACAGTGTGGGAATTTAAATCTTTATTTTGCCAAATTTCCCAAAACAAGAAGGTTTAAAAGAAAAATTGGGGCCCAATCCTACGAGGTGCTCAGCACCAGTAACTTCCACTAACTTCAGCAGATGTCAGTGCTTCTTAGCACATTAAGGCCCACAGTTACTATAATTCCTGTTCTGGGCAAGGAGAATTTTCTATATGTATATCAAAAATTTCACAGTAACTTGTGGGCATTGTGTACATTGTGCACATCAGGTAGATGTATTTATTATGCATTTATCTACAAAATTCACCTATCATCCATCCCACATCTCCTGGGCACATGCATATTACTCATACAATTATAATATTGTAATAATAGTAAATATATTGTAGAGTAAAATAATATGTTGAACAGCATATCATTTTCGTGATTTTATTCTTAAGCATTTTATTCTACACCATCCACAAGTAATTATTGCTAACCAGATCTTTGTCAAGTGTCTGCAAAAAGTGAATAAAGTAAATATTTAGCAACAGTTAAATTGTAAGAAGCTGATAAATAACCACATTAACTTTTGGAAGTTCATCTGAAGTTTCAAACCATGTAAGAAGGATGTTTTACCTCTAATCCACACAAGCCTCCTTCCGTAAAAGACAGATCTTGGCTTTCTCCCTCCAATAACAATTGAAATTACTAGTAGGTCTATTTTGTAGCAGGATCTTTCTTCTGTGACAGTGCGCCACTTTGTCCAGTAGTAGCTGACAGATGGGCAGGATCTAGCAACAGTTACAGTGGGACCCACTGATCTTGCTTTTGATTTATGTGGCCCCTTGAGACTCTCCTCTCACAACACAACCCCTGAAATACACACTTTTGAAACACCCGAACACACAAGATTGCTTCCTTCCTTCCTATAAGAATGGCTACTCTGGGATAGGAATGGAGAAATCTCACAGACTCAAGAACTTCACATATATAGTACAACCTGGGGCACAATCTGCAGGAGAAGCTTTACAGTACTTTTCAATTTGAAAGGAACACGATTAGTGATTCCAACCCCCTCTCTCCCTCCACCAGGGAAAGGCTGAACAACTTCCCCACATGTAAGAAGAAAGGGGAAGGGCCACCTTCAAAGGATACTTGCCAACAGAAGAGTGTGAGGTACCCCAGAAAAATACCTAAAGCTAGAGTTAAGGAACAGACTAAGAAGATTTACCACATCTTTCCAGAATTTCTCAGATGTCTACTGTACATGCTGTTCCAGGCAAGGACAAATGTCTGGAATGGTTCTTATTTGGGTTCACCTAATACTAATACAGTATCAGTAAAAAAGCATAATTGCTCCCATAATGCAATATCTCACCCAGGTTTTGCAGACAGGGATATTACTATGTAAACTGTGTAGGAGTTTCCCTATATATACTCTTTGATATGTAGAATACCAAGCCTTTTCTAGCCAGAAGGAGGAGATTCCAAATCTTTTCAAAGCCAGCACATACACTTGTTTCTTAGGTACAACTTGTGAAGTAATGTGAATTGATTTTTTTGTTATTTTAGGTCCTTCCACAATGGAGATCTCTTAATAAAAAGGCCATTCAATATAAAGCAAATAATACAAAAATTACCTTTCTAGCTCAGCAATTTTCTTATCTTTGTCATTCTTCTCATTCTCCACTTCCTTGAGGATTTCTAGAAGTCTGTCAACCTCAGCTTGAGCTTTGCCACATTCTTCTCTGTAGTAAGATGCCTCTTTGTCAAGCTGTTTCATTCTGTCTGCAAATTCTGGGTTCAGCCGAGCTTCTTCTTCAGCTTCATGAGCCTTCAGTGTTAAGTTAAAAAACAACAACAATCATTTAGATAATTTGCTGGCGCTATTTCTGCAGCCTCAGTGTTCAAGTCTGCATGAAAAAAAGGATTATGGGTATTTTTGTCAATTGGAAGCATATTCCCATAAAGGCACATAAAAGAAAAATAAAAATCTGTCTGCATTCTTCCTATAATCATCAGGGGGTTATATTCCCAAAACTGCATCATGAAGAAAAAATATTTCCCCCAATTTAGCGTTTTTCATACATGAAAATCTTAACTTTTGTTTCACTATAAAGTTTCTTACTACTGTCAAACAGGCAGGCATTTAAAAAAATGCAACATTCAGTACCCTAGTCCACAGATTAAATCACTGGATATCTATAAAAATCTCATTGGATACTAACAATTTAAAGGAAGGAATCAGAGCTGTTTTTAAAGGTAAAACTAGAAGAATGCTTTCAGCTGACAGTTTTAACCCAAAGCCTTTTTTTCTACTGTTAATACTTAACCTGAAACATCAGAGAAACAAGCCCATTGGTGAACACGGCACAAATAAATATACCTGGCAAACACATGCATGGGTGGGTGGCAATTTCACAGACAAGAAAGAACACAATGAAAACAACAACAACAGTGCAGAGTCCTGTCCTACTCCCACCAAAACTAATGGGAAAGTCCCATTAACTTCAATGGGAGCAGGATTGGGCATAAAGTGTTTTAAACTCTTGGCTGAAATAATCACAGACAGATGGAAACAACAATGCACTGCAATGCTTAGCCTACCCCTTGTTTCCCATTATTCCTAATTGGCATCTTCAAAGAGCAGGCAGGGAAAAAACAAGTAGTTTAACCGCAGTGCACATTAAACATGGAAAATTCAGAGAACATTTTTTTAAAATGTACAAATATTTTACAAAAATTAATTAGAACGGTAGGTCTTCTTGCTATCTTACTAAACAAAGCAGATGTTGATTTGTTTTATTTTTAATTTCAGGGAATAAACAAGGCAAGCAAGCAATGAAACAACTGCTGGTCAAAATGAAACATGCATGTCTTGAAAAAAAAATCAGTACCACGAACTACTACGGTTAGAAGGTTGACATTCTTTGCAATGATTTAGTAGAAATTTCTCTCTCTCTCTCTATATATATATATGTATAAATATTAAAAGTCTTGTGTTTAAAGGAGGAAAAAATAATTAAATTACTGAAGAACAAAAATATTTTGTGTATGCATGTAACATAATTTAAGCATGAGGATAATAAGGAAAATAATGTTACTTTCAAATTCTATTTTTCTACTTTGGGATTTCTATTCACACGGGAGATCTAATTGTGAAAAGAACAAGGAAGTGACATAAGAAGCTCACTATATTTGTTCTTCTTGTTACTCCAACCCTCCCCTCTAGACAATATTACATTCTTAGGCTACAGGCTTCACACAGATGCTGGGATCTCCCTACACTGAGCTCATTGCAGGGTCTGGTACTTAGAGTATTTCAACTATATTGTTCTGGTGGCACATTTACTAACAAAATATTTTTTTATCTTTTAGAAATCCACAAAGTTGATAAATATCACACCGGGGGAGAGGGAGAGGGATTAGCTATAGTCAAACTTTTTTTTTTTTGCCATTATATTTTTTAAGTAAGTGCAATAAGGGCTCAAAACCCAGTTGTGCAAGAGATTGAGGTCCTTCTTTAAAGGTGCTAAGTACTCTCAGTTCCCACTGACTTCAACAGGAAATGAGAGTGTAGAGCACTTTGACAATTGGGCCATACACATTCCTCTCCCATGGAAAACAGAGCAGGAGCTGGCAAGTATTCCTATAATTCTGCAGAGGCCAAAAATCCACAGGAAAAATCAGGTTCCCTCTTTTAAGATCCCAGGTAATCTATGGGGAGAGCCAGCCCTCCACATCACTCCTCAGATTTCCTTCTCCCACCTGGGATCATGGTTCACTTAAGAAGTCCTGAAACAGACTCACCCACTCTGTCCCTATTTCTCATTTGCCTCTTATATTCTATTCCATCACCATTAGCTTTCCCTTATCATCCTGCTTCTGTGTCTCTCCTTTTAACCCTGCTCCCACCATTCTATCCCTGCCACTCAACCTGTTTCCATTCTATCCCCTCTCCTTCTGCCCTCTCAGTCTTTTCTTCACTCACCTCCCTTGCCATCAGCATATTGGGACAGGAGGCTTCAACCACCATCTTCTCCTTCCAGCTCCTGCTGGCTTAGCCCCAGAAGATGAAGAAGCTAGAGTAAGGACTTACAGCTGCTTGGCCAGCTGCATTTCCTCTGCCACATTGTTCCCCAGTGGCCAAAAGCAGTAAATGGGGGGAAATCCCTATAGTCCTGCTGGATGCACAGCATCCCAACACAGCTGTGGGGAAGCAGGACAAGGCTATGAAATGTGAGAGTGTCACGTCATATCCCTGAAACACAACAGCTCCAAAATTACCAAGTAAAGTTACTGTCTTATACCATGTGATATGCTTCCCTTTGTTCAGTTGCATAGTAAGGTAGTTAGGAGAAATTTAAGGACAAACAAATTGTTCACAGTAGGGCTCCTCCTAATACACACATCATTCAGCTGAATTAGTGAAGCACTGATGGGATGATTTTTGTAACATTCCGTAGTGCAGGCGTGGTCAGAGAGATAAAGTGACTTGCCTAGAGTGGGTATGTCTACACAGCAACTGGGAGGATGCTTCCTGGCTCAGATCAACACACTAGGTCTTCTTGAGCTAGTGTTGTGAAGAAATAGCGGTGTGGCTGTGGCAGCCTGGGCAATGGCTCAGGCTAGTCAACTGAGTATATACCAGGAAGTCAGGAAGGATTGTACTCAGATAGCTACTCAAGCCACTGCTGCTACACTGTTATGTTTAGCACGCTAACTCAAACAGAGCTACCGCATATCTGTCTAGCCACACGCCCACTGCAGTGTAGACACACTCAACGATTCAATGGGAGAGCTGGGAAGAGAATCCAAATTCCCTGAAGCCCAGTCACACACTATATCCACTTGACCACACTGCTTTACAGAAATAGTCTTTTTAATCATTATGGATGCTTTAATTAACAGTAGTTTGAATGTCAACTTTACATTAGAATTGTACATGTTTGATGCTGCTTTTTATAATTGTAACTGTGAAGTGCGTTATACGCATGTACTAGACATTGAAGACAAAACAGTAATGTTTTCAAATTTGTAGTGTTAAAATTAGTTGTGTAAAATGAAATCACTTGGAGGACTTTTCATGTTAACAATAATAATTCCCGGCGGCTCCAGGAAGCACAAGGGAAGTAAATGGAACCAGGAGACTACCTATTCCCCTTTGCACTTTTGTTCAGTAGCCAGGCACAATAAAAGCCCTATTACTCCAACAAAAGAACTATTCCTAACATGCCCGGTATTCAAGACACTTCAAAAAGGGAAGGGTGAAAGCAGAGCCAGGGTTCCACACAGCAGAGGCACCAGAGCTAGCTGGGCATGCATGCAGGAATACGCTGCACTCACAAAACGGTGTAGTTGAAGGTATATTCCGCTACATACTGGCAAATTCCATGAGAAATTCCGCCTTCCAGAGGCACAATTCCTCCTGGATAGATTCCCCCTGGAGCAATGCATCTCAACACCATTCCAAGCATGAGACAGTGCCTATAAAACTCGAGTATGCCCAGAACTGATAAATTATCTACCCCACCCTACCAAGGCTCTGGAGATGCTTCACAGAGATGCATAACAATTAAAATAATATAAAAGCACAATGCAAATACTAGGATAAAAACATTATAATCTAAAAACATTAGGAAACTAAATATGGAGTCCAGTATTTGAAACCATTATTAGGTTGTCCCTACATGTATGGGATTACCCATTCAGTAGATTGGGACTAATTGGGAGAATAAGGATTGTTTTGCAGAAGGGATGCAGGATCAAACCCATGCACACTACTAAATGGAAGGAAAAAAGGAAAGGTTCTACATATATGGAGAGCTGATGGAGCAATATCATAAAACATCTTTGAAACAGAAAAGTTTTCTGGTGTTATTCAAAATTTGCCAAGGACGGACAGATTGGCTGTAAATAGAGAGTGAGGCTATGTCTACACTACAGCCTATGTTGGCAAAATTTATGTCGCTCAGGAGTGTGAATATTCCACCCTCCTGAGTGACTAAATTACACCGACAGAAGCACTCGTGTGCACAGCGCTATGTCGATGGGAGACCTTCTCCCACCAACATAGCTTAATGCACTTGCGGAGGTGAGGTTTTTTTATTCCAATGAGAGAACTCTCTCCTGTCGGCATAGAGCATCTTCACCAGACGTGCTTCAGCAGCACAGCTTTACCAGTACAGCTGCACTGCTGCAGTGTAGTACATATAGACATGGACTAAGTTCACAACTAAGTTATTCAATTCTCTCACATTAGGGACAAATAGAGAGACAAGGTGGGTGAGGTACTATCTTTTATTGGACCAACTTCTGTGGGTGAGAGAGACAAGCTTTCGAGCCATGCAGAGGTCTTCTTCAGGTCTGGGAAAGACACTCTCAGTTTCACAGTTAAATGTGCTAACTCAGGGGTGGCCAAACTGTGGCTCATGAGCCACATGTGGCTCTTTTACCATTAAAGTGCAGCTCATGGAGCCCCCGCACACCCCCATTCTTCACCTACCAGACTGGGTGGGGAGATGCTCAGGACCTTTGCCTTGCAGCAGGGTGGAGCGGTAGGGGCTTCTGCCCAGCGGGGAGGGGTCTTGGGGCTTCAGCCCTGCGGGGCGCACCTGCCAGGGCTCAGGGCTTCAGCAGGAGCAGCGCTGAAGCCCCAACCTCTGGCTCTCGAACTTCTGAAGATTGTCGTATGTGGCTCAGAGGGCCAGAAAGTTTGGCCACCCCTGTGCTAACTACTTATGCTAAACAATCTGTTCCATCTGACCAGTTCTTTACAAGACAAAATTTTCTTATTAATATATACCACTTACATATTCAATATAAATGCCAATAGCTTGTTTGTAAATTATTTTAGGGGCTTGATACTATTTTTAATTTGCATAGTACTGTAACCATCTAACAACAGTTTCTCAGTAATAAAAGTTAAATATAAATACACACTTTTTATTCCAATTATTAATTGGGATGTTGCATTTTAAAGAAAATATACTACTTGCATACAATTATTGAATTGATACTATGCTGTATTTCAGTATTGGAAAAGCCATTATTATTTTTTGCAATCCCCAAAACATCCAAATAAAGAGACTGTCACCCTAATGTTTGAACTTCTCTGATTCTAAAAAGCATTTCATATTATCGACCCTGTTTTTTATTTTGCATTCCACAAGTAGAGGCAAAATAATGTTTTCTATATAAATACCAAATTGTCTACAGAAATATTAAAGTGTGATAAAGACATATAAAATTAATGAATATATTATAAATTATGCCCACAATCCTGCATTAATTTTTCTGTATCAGATGTATGCATTGGAATAGTATACCTTAATTTAAATTAGCCAAAAAGATCAAATTAGTGCTTGACCAAAAATAATAATTAAATGAAACAGCAGAAATGTACATGCAAGAAAATACTTTCTAAGATCCTTCACATTTTTTCTGGTTCAATAATAAATTAAATAATCTGTTCTCCTCTTAAATTTTAAAATCGCTTTAAATTTAAGTTATTTTTCAAACTAATTCCTGGGACTGAGCTAAGCAATTTAGAGCTGATCTTTGCTTTGGTTTTGATCTTCCATTGCTTCTGCTCAGTATTTGCAGAATCAGGTCCTCAATATTCAGAAGCAGCTTGAAGGACTAGAAACAATCAAATAAATTGTAATACCTTATTACAGAAAAATAACAATAATGTAACTGTTTTCTAACCGTTATTTATTAGCACAGGGCATGATTGCATAATCTAAACGGTGTTTACATCTACACACAAAAGTAAACAAGGCCCAAATTCTGTTAATATTATTCAGACAAGTAGTCTCTCTAAATTCATTTTGAATATTCTCATGAACAAGATGAGCAGGATTTGGGCCCCTTTTATATTTTTCCACTTTGCTACCAAAAAGCCTACAAGTGTGAAACAGATTCATCTGTTTGTTTTGTGCATTTTTAAAATGTAGCTTCAGTGATAAGAGTGAGTGCCCCAGAGTTGATAGTACTCTATGGACTAACAAAGATTTATCATTCTACTGGAAAAAGAACAGGCAGTATGAAGGAACTAAGGCTTACTTAAAAATTGATTGTTAAATGCCAGAAAGTTTTAAAATGAAGATTGGAGATCAACAGGACTGTATTTTCCATCCACCTTATATAAAGTCATTTATTTCATATTTGGAAACACAAATTTGGCTCAATTTCTGTTCATGGCAATCATGTAGTCTAAAGAACAAGTCTTTAGATCAGTCTGAAAAACATATTATTCTCACATTGTCAAAAATAAACACAAAGGGAAAAATAACTAAAGAAAATATGCATTGAGGATAAGATGTAACTACCTGCTACATGAATTTAATATAAAAGATTTTCCATTCAGTGGTTTTGAACCACTGAGAGATGGTACTTGTAAAAAAGAAGCATGCAAAAAGTAAAAATTGATAAGATTTTGGATACTATATGCAAAAAGGTTAATGGTCAACAAATAGCAATCACTGTAGCAGTGGGATTAAAATTGAAATAATTAAGGGAATGGTCTACATCGAGCAAGAGAAAAGGTAACCAAGGAGTCAGCAATATACAAAAGGTGTGCACTATAAGAGTGCAGATGATATGCATGAAAGTATGTCGTCTACCTATGAAACCATCATGTCGATGACCCAAACTAATATAAGGAGTGCAAAGTGTACAAGAGTGCAAACTATTTGATCACCACAGTATGTTGCATGAGAAAGTGGGTATATAATTAGGTTTTATGTTCTCTATGAACAAATCATGACTGATTTCCAAATGTAATTACATGATTTTCAAGAAGTAAATATGGTAGATTCTATGGGATCTATTCTCCCATTCATGGCCAGCTCCAGGGTTTTGGCCGCCCCAAGCAGCCAAACAAAAAAGAAACCAAAACAAAAAAAGCTGCGATCGCGATCTGTGGCAGCAATTCGGTGGGAGGTCCTTCGCTCTGAGCAGGAGTGAGGGACAGTCCGCCGAATTGCCGCCGAACAGCTGGACGTGCCGCCCCGCTCCGAAGTGGCCGCCCCAAGCACCTGCTTGGTAAGCTGGTGCCTGGAGCCGACCCTGCTCCCATTAATACACATGAAATTTCCACTACATCAGTGGAAATACTCAGCATCAACAACAGAACAACAGACCCACTGGATGAAATCCTGGCCCACTGAAGTTAATGATATAACCCCCATTGACTTCAGTGGGACCAGTGTCACCCAAGTGTTTAATACCATATTTTTATAGAACCCTATAAAATCAAGTTCTTTCACACCTTCTGATTGGAATTACTATGTAATCTGTAGGTCATAAATTGCTATGTTATCACAATCCAGTTACATCATTATTTCTGCCCTGTGATGCTCACAGCATATTTTTAGTGTTAGTTTGTACCAGCCGGAAAATCTTCTACAGATAAGAATGTGTTTTTGTTCTTCCTCAAATTGAAAAATGAATACAATATAGACAAAAGGAAATTGCTTAAGAAACTATATTAAAGAAGGCATCAAAGAATAATCCCAAACAAACAAAAGCATTATTACATTTTCTTGTTTAAACTAATAGGACAACATTGCCATTGTTTTTATCATTCTATATTTTCAGCCTTTTCTTGGTCAAAATATGTTTTTTAAATGTATAAATACTGAACATGCACATTCTTCTACTGAAAAACTGATCTTTTGCCTTCTGAACTAATGTGATCATACTGCAACTTTACAAAAATATGCTGAACAGACATTTACTAGGTATTATTACTGATATTATCAGGTGAGATATCATAAATACATCACCATATATTATTCTGAATTTGAAGGATCCAGTAAAGTATTCCATGAGCATAGCGTTAAAATAAAATAAAATAAAACAAAACAAAAAACTATCTTTTGCATGCTTTTAAAAAAAATATAATAGAGAAGTTGAAGACCTGAAGGCAATGACATTTGAACTTCGGAGGATGTTATATTAATCCAATTCCCAGTTAATACATATCATATTCAAAAAAATGGCCTTAAAGTCCACAAAGCTCATTTATTTTGACATAACTAAAACAGGTGATCATCAAAAAAATGTTTTGCAAAGCTCCATAGAGGAAGAACACAACACAGTGTCAGGTCAATGGATCCTCATGCTTTCATATGTTACAGCGGGCACTTTCAGAAAGGACTTACTGGATTGTACATCTGATTGAACAACTGTTCAGCTTGCTACATTGCAAAGTTGGGAAGGAGTGAAGCATAGACAGGAAAAGAAGGAAAGATCCAGGAAAACAGCATTAGCTCAACAAATCCAGTGCATTTGCACAGAAGAACTTGTCATAAAAAAGTAGAAATTTAAGTTTCTAAACATTCCTCGGTGAAAGCGAGAGGCACTGGGGAAACATAAATGTTGACTTTGGCTTCTAAAAAAGAATAGCTGGAGTAAAAAATTTAAGGTTTGTGTTACTTTCCCTCTCTCAAGTTAAATAACCCATGAAATAAAGAAAGGTGTCCACTTTTGATGATACATTAAGTGCTAGTCTCAAGCAATGAATCACTAGAAGCGCTTTTAGCCAAGGCTGCAATTTATCACAAAAGTTTCAAAGACAGTAATAATAAAAGATTAATTAAACTTTATCATTAAATTTATGGTTTTTCTTTTGTATTAACACAAGCCTGAATTTTCGATCCAATATGACTTTTGAACAGTACAGCTTGGCAAACAGTAGTTTAGCAACAGCAAGTATGTCAGTAAGCATGGAAATATAAAATCCATGATAAACAACAAAAGGAGGAAATTCTAAAATGGATAATAAGATTCAGGAAAGCAACATAAAAAATAATTAACTACCTATGAGGTAATTCCTGCTGTTCCATCATAATTAGCAAAGGAAAATATGTAAAAAAATGCCTGTAGAGTTTTGGCACAAAAGTGTTGGGAGCTCCCCACTAATTTTGTTCCCATCAATTCCAAATCATAATCCTCGTAACAAAAGGCTTAACAAGCATGCTCATGGTTTTAAACAATTTTGGTGTACAGTAAAATACAGTATGAACACAGGAGCAATTATTCTTTTTGAATGCTCTCCTATTTATTGGTTTTTAAATGCATATGCTATTTCAATTAATAATGGGGCTACAGTTCAGTTTGTTGTAATCAAATATTTCAAGAGTCTGCCTAAGGATTTTTGTTCTACTTTTGAATATATTCTTTGAGAGTCTGCATATTTTCTCCCCCAGAAATGCAGGTATTGCACAGTGTCAAGTATGTAATACTGAGAAATAGTTATAGTCAAGCCTGGGGAAAATGTCTTGGAGAAACAAATATATATATATATATATATATATATATATATATATATATATATCAAAAAAGGAGGAATTTAAAAAATAATTGAAAAAGAAGAGGAAGAAAATTCCAAGGCAAAACTGTTCCTCATCACAAGTTTGGTTAGGCCTTGTATCCCATAAACACTTCTTCTGGGCATAGTGCTTAGGACTATGACTTCTCAGAACTATTCACTGTTGCAAATATGTGCTGGATTAAATCGATATTTAGGAATAAAAATAGATACAACTAAAGAATCATAGTTAATGCTGGGCAAGTTAACTAACAGTACCGCCACTCTGATTTATTTATTTTTTAAGAAAGATAAATGATATGCAAGTTAATATTTTTTAAAAAGAATGGATACATATTTGGAGTTACTTTTCAAATTATGTCCAGTGAAGTGACACATCTCTCACCTCTGCAGTGTTGAGTGTTCATTGATACAGTGAGCATCCATATGGGACATGCAGATTTGTATACTGTGTATAAGAATGAAGAAATGTATATGCTCCCTCCCATCTCCATTCAACAAAATTCTAAAATCCTCCCAAAACTGATTTCTGTTTCAGTTAGTTTGTTAAGGGATAAAATCAGTGACTGAAGGTAGATTTCAATTTCTGGAGAGCAAGTTACTTTTATCACAGGATATTTTTAGGTTTAGCTGAAATTAAAGCTTTTACTAAAGTAAATGTAAATTAAAAATTACTGTTTGCAGTCCATTGTCATTAACAGCCAGTGTTTCTATTCTCCTAAACACATCCAACAATGTTGAATCTGCATATTATTGTGGAAATACCAAGCCTCCTACAAATCTTGGGCCAGTTCCCATTGGGAATTCATGTTGTATTTATGGTATAATCAAACTATTATGTTTTCAACTTTCATTTGGTAACCCTTTGTATTTTATTCATAAGGAACATACTTCCTTTTTATTTAAAAGGAGGCCCAGACACTTACAGACTTTTATAACTGCTTATTTTTCCATTACTAAATGATGTGTTGATATATACATTCATAGATGTTCACTTAGAATTTCAACTATTTCAAGCAGATTTCCATTTTTTTTAAGATGACAGGTGCTTTAGCATTCTAAAGAACTATTTATTACAAAAAATTTCCCAAAAATAAGGCCACTGGAAAAATATTTTGAACATGTGAATTCATTTGAACGAATACCGCTAAAAGCAACAAAATTAAATGTAAAAGTTAACCATAGAGGTAATAATATTTAAATTATAAGTGTCTTACCATGCTCATCACCTGATCTGAACTATAATACAAATAAAGATTCTTCACACCTTCAGTAAATAATATTTATATTTCTTTTAATAAAATAAAAGTGACCTATGCCTACATGCATTATTTAGGTATTTTAATTCTGGTGCAAATGGCATTGATAATTTCTTGTAAATATTTGATAGGTTAAGATTTTGTTAAAAGCTCTTTGCATGCAAGTTTATTTGAAACGATGCCCTCCTCTCATCCAAATAAGAAAGGCCGTAATGGGTCAGACCAAATGTCCATCGAGCTCAGTATCCTGTCCTCCAACAGTGGCCAATGCCAGGTGTTTCAGAGGAATGAACAAAACAGGTAATCATCAAGTGATCCATCCCATTACCCATTCCCAGCTTCTGGCAGACATAGACTAGAGACACCATTCCTGCCCATTCTAGCTAATAGCTATTGATGGACCTATCCTCCAGGAATTTATCTAGTTCTTTTTTGAACCCTGTTATGGTCTTGGCCTTCACAACATCCTCTGGCAAAGAATTCCACAGGTAGACTGTGCATTCTGTGAAGAAATACTTCCTTTTGTTTGTTTTAAACTTCCTGTCAATTAATTTCATTTGGTGACCGTTATACGGTCACCCCAACAACTGTATATATAGTGTGTTTTATACATGTAAAATTTATATTAGATCATAATATTTTGAGTGTGCTCTTCTAAAGTATACATTACAGCACATATACCTACTCTAGAAGTACGTAATAAAATCAAAAAGATAGGTAAAAATATAAGATTCAAATTTTGAAACCCTTGCTCACCCTTGAGTAATACCTTACTCCACAGGTCGTCCAACTGAAATCAATGAGGCTAACTATTCAACATGAGGAAGGGTATCATAATCTGGACCTAAAAATGTCAATATTCAAGCTAAAATAATTAACCTCTTCTAGAGCACATAAGCATATAAATCTATGTCCAAAGTATTCTGGGGGTTTAAAGTTTTATCTACACTTCTCACTGGCTTATTTAACAGTTGCGGAAGGAAAATATGATGCTTAAACCCACTGAGTATATCATGAGTTTGGTGTTCAAACAATGAGTGCAGACACTACCAAATGACAAAGCAAAAAGTCAAAGAAACACATGAAAAAAAATGTGTCAACAAAATTTGGAGATCAGTTAGTATTGTAATGAAGTAATCTACATAAAATTATTGGATAAGTATTGTACTTCTAAAACATTTTTCTTTAAATGTTTGCTTCTGCTTCTTGGTGGATATAAATAATGCCAACTGTGATATATTCAACACTATTTTTTTTAACTACCTAAAATTTTAATTAATTAAATAAATACATAAAATTAAGGAGAATTTCAGTATAAAACCTAGACATTTTTGACTAGAAAGAGTAATTTAGATTTGTAGATATAGTAATGGCTGGTTTCTATAACTTCCCCCCTTCCCCCAGTATTTTCACCAGTTTTTCCAAATACCCCTTAGACAGGAAACTTAAGACAATTTTTCAGGCTCACAGACAGCTTTTATACATGCTTCTTAAGAAAAAGTCAACATTGTTTGATGCTAGGATCAGCAGACAGCAGAAGACTGCCAGATTTTAAAATGGACCTCTTGCTTCATTGCCAGTTATATACTAAAAAAGTGAAGAGTTTAGTCCATTTCACAATAAGAATTTTCTTAGAAGGCACTTACCTTTTTCAGCTGTGCTTCCAACTTACTACATTCTTCTTTCTTTTGTTCTATGGCTATTTCTAAAGACTTTAATTTGGAGTCTCTTTTCAGCCCTGTTGATGCCAATGATGATGCATGTTCTTTGAGGTCAATTAAATTAGACTGAAAAATTATCCAAAAAAAGAAGAAAGAGATGGTGTTAGAAATTGCATTGATCCTAGCCACTAAGATTGTAAATTATCGTACCGGCTATATTTTCAGTCAAAAACTTTGTACATGTGTGCAGACATGGGGATGGGTATTTACAGCATACTAAAATATTATTAGGTAATTTTTAGAAGGTTAACAAAAAGTTGAATGTCTATGAAAAGATTACTTGTTCTTGAATATACCATGTTCCCTCTGCTGAAAAGATAGAGGGTAATTTCCTTGGGGAAATGGATGATTCATTTGTATTTTAAATGTAATCCTTGAGAATTAGAAAATAGTCGATTCTATATTTTACACTGATCAGTGTTCTCCTTTATATTTAGTTTACTATCAGATTTTACTTTTGCCAGTTATCCTATGATAGAAGGGTGGAGGTAGCTGTACACATCAGTATTCTACATATTCATTTGTACTTAAAATACTATTATCAACTTCTATTGTTAATTTTGTCTATTTTACTTTTAATAGCCTATAGAAGCTTTAAAATAAATTAGAATCATAGAGGTTAAGCCCCAGAAGGGACCACTGGATCATCTATTCTGACCTCCTGTATATCACAGGCCACTAACCCCTGCCCAGCACCCACACAGTAAACTCAAACACTGAAATTAGACCGAAGTATTACAGCTCTCAGGAGACAGGCACAGAATCGGAGGAACTGGGATTCACCAAGACCTGAGACCCCCGCCCTCCCCCAGTAGCAGGGAATTGATTAAGTAAGATAAATACAGATCATCCTGCAAATGAGCCACAACCCATGGAATTCTCACCATCATTTCTTTTAGCCCCTGCAAAAATGGCAGCAGGCTTTTATTAAAAATATCCTCCTCATCATCATGCTGGTGGTAGATTTAAAAAAAACCCCACCAAAGACAGACTTGAATAGAAAAAAATATTTCCCATTAATTCATCACAACTTTAATTATTTATAAATTCTCACCCAATAGCTTTACTTTAAAGGGTACTCAGACCCTACAGGAGAAGTATGCAAGAGAAGAAAAACCAAAAAGAAGTATCTTGCAGCATGACATGAATAGGATTTAATCTTATCACATAGTTCATAAGAATCTAATGATGTGAGCACAGAGCAGTGGTATGCAATGGCACAACAAAACTTTAGTAAAGAATCAACCAGATCAGGGAGTCACCAAGTAAAACCCCTTATCAATAATCAGTCTGGCTGAATCAAATACTTGTGGACCTTACTCTCAGAAGGTCTTGCTCCTGCTAAGCCCATTAGTTCAAATAAAAACTGAAAATAGGACCAGCAGTGGAATACTAAAGCCTTGTCAAACATGTGTAAAGGAAAGGAAAGGAATATACACAAAGAAGAAATAAAGGGAAAGAAATATTTCATGGAAAGTAATCAAGAGTTTGACAGTGGGGAATGTTCAAAAATATACTGCTTTAGGAGTTAGTTTCTAAAAACAGTTGAAAACCAATAGCTTAAACCAGGTTTCTCAACCACCGCAACCCTTATCTGACAACAAAAATTACTACACGATCCCAGGAAGGGGGACCGAAGCCTGAGCCCCACTGCCCCAGGAGGGTGGGCCAAAGCCCAAGCCCCACTGCCCTGGAGCAGGCCCGAAACCGAAGCTTGAGGGCTTCAGCTCTGGGTGGGACGGCTGACACCTGAGCCCCGCCACCCAGGCCTGAAGCGCTTGGGCTTCAGCTTCAGCCCTGAGCAGTGGGACTCTGACTTCGGCTTCAGCCCCAACCCCCAGCAAGACTAATACCAGCCCTGGCGACCCCATTAAAACAGGGTCATGACCCACTTTGGGGTCCCGACCTACAGTTTGAGAACTGCTGGCTTAAGCAATTTGACAGTGTCTGTAATTAACTTGTTTATATCAGTGAAACTTGTTAGGAAGATCAGAACAATAAAGATTTTAAATTTTACTGCAACGGCTGACCTCCTTCTCTGTTAGTTCAGCTTGTAAAGCATTAACTTTCTCCTTCAAGTCTTTGTTTTCCTTTTTAAAGGATTCTATTTCTTCCAGTCTTTCTCGGTCATCCCGTTCCCTCTGCTCCTTCAAGCGCTCTATTATTCTCTCCTAACAATAAGAAAGAGTAATAAAAATGTAAAGCTTGGTACAGCAATTCAGAAAAAAAAAAGCTCTCTTTGCATTAAGTTGCACTGTGGAAATTGATCTTTGGAAGCACATATATCACCTTAATTCTCGAGATAAGGGAAATAAGAGGACGCTCCATCCAACACTTACTGAAGACAATAGAAATATTTCCACTGGCTTCAGTGGGCATTGGATCAGCCCTAAATGCTGAATTATGGTACCATCCTAGACAAAGTTCAACAAAATTTGATATTAATGTAAAATACATAGACGTTTAAAAATATTTAGAGAACACTACATATTTGGACAATGCACCTGCTTTGTTGTTAATCCATAAATTATGAATGAATGTTCAAAATGACAAAGCCACGTTTTCTACTATACTCAGTTTGAATTTTCTTATTACAGTCTAGCTTCCCAGCAAGTTCTATGCAGGTTGCAATAGAGTTTCATGAAAGTTCTAAAGTTTAGTTAACAATTGTGTGATAATTTAGAATGCAAGCAACAATCTGTCAGTTATCGATAATGCTATATTCACAGGTATGACATTTTGGAAAACATTGAATGAGACAGAGAAAAAGGTACCTTCATTTTGATTGCAAAACCCAAAAGAAGAACATTTTCTATCCTAATAGCAACGATTACACATATGCTTAAAGTTGATCATATTCTTTAATGGTGTATTGAATTTGGATCTAAGCAGGAGAAGGAAAATGATAGTTTTTCTTCATGGCTTTGAAGGGATTACCTCTAGAACGTTTATTCAGTTCTGGGCTCATCAACAGAAACACTGACAAATTAGAAGGTAGTCACTGCAGATTAACATGATTCATGGGCTAAAGAATTGATTTAAAAATATGTAAAAACACAAGTATATAGTGTATAGTTTAGCTAAACAATGACTAAATTGGGGAACATCGCCATCTACAAATATTTGAAATGTGTAAACAAATCAATAGGAGAAAATATTTAGTGTGAGATGAAATTAAATTAAAAATAGGATAATTTAAGCAGAATGTCAGGAAAAACCTGACAGAGAAATTTATGGAAACTATGGAATAAGTCTCCCAAGGAATGTGATGGAAGCCATATCACTCAGGAAAGTTAAACCTGGACTAGACAAAACAGTGTCGTAGTATGAAATACTACTACACTGGCAGGAAAATGGATGACATGGCATAATCCATCTTTTCCCCCTCTGATTCCTTTGGTGTGCCATTTTAGTGCTGTTGATTGTTTCTTTTTAAGTTCTTTTTATACTTATGCATGAAATCTATATTATAAAAGCAGCACTCTTAAAATACTGCTGCATACCAGCATATGACCATGGTTAGTGGAAGTCTAATATTGTCAGAATAACATACATTCTCTTTCTCTCATGTTAATTTGCTCTATGCATAGCTTGTTGTACTGCAATACATGTAATGTTTTATTTTTGCTAGCTTTAATATGATTTATTCTCAGTTGAATTTTTTATTACATCTCAAAATGTCAATGAAATATTGAAACAAAGACAGCACCACCTTAGTGGCTTCTCATCAGCTTATTTTATTTGTAAAAAGCTTAGCTACCGTGTAAGGGGGGGAAAGCATTCATTCATTCACAGAACTTATACTGAAATGTATTATTAAGAATATCTAGTTATTTAACTGTCCTCTCTAGACATTCAGTATAATCCTTCTCAGAGGCTTAGAGGCCCTTCAAAACTGTTCCCTTCCCATCCCCCGCAGGTACAACAGAAATCTGTAAAAGGAATAACCTCAACCTTTAAGACACAAAGGATGAAAATAAAGTGCAGAGTGTGAGCCTAACAAGTCCAGCTCCCACCCTTGCAGCAGCCCTTCCTTCCTCCTCTCCCTCTTCCTCTTTACTCTCCTTCCTCCAATGAAGACATTCCCCTTCCTTAGCCCACTCAATGAAACATCAAAAAAGCCCCCTTTCTCCAAAGAGGCAGAGCCTTGCATTCCCCACAGCCTTGCATTCTGTACCTCAGCCATTAGTTGCTTTTCCTCACTTTACCCACATATCTGCCATGTGTTCCTTCCCCACGACTGTCTTCAGTGGCCATTGTGTACTGTCTGCCTGTTTGCTTCCCAGCATGAGAGAAGGTGTTGGAACTCAATGATGGGACAAGTGGAGCATGAGTAGTGTTTCCAGCAGACAGGGAGGGCTTTTCCAACTCTTGCCTGTCTTTTCAGTTTCCATGGCTCCAACCTTACGTAAGCACAAAACCCCTTGGTGTTAACAAAAGATTTAGGTGTCAATAGAGGATGTTTGGGAACAAACTGATAAATTAAACAGCAACAAGTCACCAGGACCAGATGGTATTCACCCAAGAGATCTGAAGGAACTCAAATGTGAAATGGCGGAACTACTAACCAGACAAATGGAGGAGAGCTAATGTGATGCCAATTTTTTTTAAAAAGGAGCTCCAGACATGATGTTGGCAATAACAGGACAGTAAGCCTAACTTCAGTGCCAGGCAAACTGGTTGAAACTATAGTAAAGAACAGAATTATCAGATACATAGATGAATACAATTTGTTGGGGGAAGAGACAACACGGCTTTTGTAAAGGAAATCATGCCTCACCAATCTATTAGAATTCTTTGAGGGGGTCAACAAACCTACGGACAAGGGTAATCCGATGAATATAGTGTACTTGGACTTTCAGAAAGCCTTTGATAAGGTCCTTCACCAAAGGCACTTAAGCAAAGTAAGCAGTCATGGGATGAGAGGGAAGGTTCTCTTATGGATCAGTAACTGGTTAAAAGACAGGAAAACAAAGGTAGGAAAAATGGGCACTTTTCAGAATGGAGAGAGGTAAAGAGCAACATCCCTCAGAGATCTGTATTGGAACAAGTGCTGTTGAACATATTCATAAATGATCTGGAAAAATGGGTAAACAGTGAGGTGGCAACATTTTCAGATGATACAAAATTACTCAAGATAGTTAAGTCCAAAGCAGACCATGAAGAGTTAGAAAGGGATCTCACTAAACTGGGTGACTGGGCAACAAAACAGCAGATGAAATTCAAAGTTGATAAATGCAAAGTAATGCATATTGGAAAACACAGTCCCAACTATATATACCCAAAATAATGGGGGTCTGAATTAGCTGTTACCACTCAAGAGAGAGATTGTGGAGTCACTGTGTATAGCAGGGGTTGGCAACATTTCAGAAGTGGTGTGCTGAGTCTTCATTTATACACTCTAATTTAAGGCTTCGCATGCCGGTAATACATTGTAACACTTTTTAGAAGGTCTCTCTATAAATCTATGTAACCCCCAAGGAGATTACATAGATTCCTGGAGCTCTGTCTGCTGGCAGCTCGGGGAGGAGGAGCCAAGGCAAACTCAGAGTCTGCCCGGCAACCGATAGGGAGTGAGATGCCCCTCCCAGGGAGTTCAGGAGAGGGGAGAAGCCATTTTGGAGAGGCTGGAGCCAGCCAGGGCGAGGGCAGGACTGGTTGTGTGGGGAGCTGGTGAGTCCCAGGCCTACACGCAGGGTTCCCACTGAGAACTGGCCTCTAGGGACCTGACAGCCGATCCCTCACCTGGGTTTTCTTTCCCCACGGATGAGTCCCAATTGGTAGCATTTGCTGAGAAATTTCACCTCCAGCTCCCTAGGTGAGACTAGTCACCACATGGTCAGCTCTGCTAGTCCAGGGAAGCTGCCTGCTGAGTGTGTGACTGGAGGCTGGGCTAGGAGGCTACAGTTTGGCTGTTAGGGTAGTTGTATAACCTACACCTTGAGCCCTGCACCCCTTTGTGGTGAGGGGAAATCTTGGGACCAACGCAGCCTGATTCCTGCTTGAGGAGGATCCCTGACAGCAGACAGCCGCCCCTCTGCAGTGACTGAAGAGTCCAGCGTCATCTTCAAACCAGAAGATCCATTCATGGAGTTCATGAGTGCACCGTCTTTTAGTTAGTTAGTCAGGGGATTTGTTTTGGGGACCCCCTACTCCCTGAACCGTGTCCTCAAGCCAGGGAGTGAGGGTTTGAGAATTTTATAACCTCCTGCTTATTATACCTGTGGAGGGATTCACCACCTCCTCCCACTTGTGGGTCCTTTGGACTGTACTGAACCCAGTCAGCCACACTGCTAAACCACTGCAGAGAATTTTATAGGTCATCAAGGGCCCCAGCAAAGTGCGCGTACCAACAGGACACTAATTTTACACTTGTTACATCAAGTCATGGGTATTTTCAGTGTGGGCACAGGTGACCCTAAAAATAGTGTTTCACCCTGTTATGCTGTATTTGTTGCCTGTTTAATATAATTATTGTGTTGAATATATTTTTATATGTTATGTTATTTCTTGGAAGTCTCCCACTATCTGGCAAGTAAGTGGGGATTACTCTGTAGTTAGAATTTTCCGCCCAAGCTGCCCTGGTGACCCTGCCAGGAAGGAGCGAGGGGGGTGGAGGCACCACCAAATAATTTCATAGAAAAAAAAAAGATTTACCCTGCTGAGTGGGTGGCGGGATCCAAAAGAACCCAGACCTGTCCATCAAAACCTGTAAGCGGATTGCCATTAAAGGAGGTAACCAGGTGGAGAGGGGCGCTACATCTATAATATATAACCAAACTACTGTTATATATAAAGTAAACAAGATTTTCAAAATGTTTCAGAAGCTTTATTTAAAATTAAATTAAAATGCAGATCTCATCAGTTTAGTGTGGTCCTCGCCCTTGCTTTTCCTTGCTGAGTTTTCCAATGTCTGGCACGTATTTGGATACTTTAAGCTGCACACAGGCTTCTGAGTGATCAGTTGTTAACTGGCTCCGAGAGGGACAGAGGACAGATATCATGTGTGAATATACCTGTTCACACAGGTATGTAGATCCAAATGCTGAAAGCATTGCAAACGCAATTTTCTTCAAACAGTTAAATTTCACTGGCAGGGACGTCCAGCAGGTCAGAATAGAGGCCCCAGGATCTCTCTCGGTAGCTTCAAGTGCGCTCTGCAATCCACAAA